ATTAGGATTAGGATTAGGATTAGGTTTAGGAGGTTAGGTTTAGGGCTTAGTTTTAGGTTTAGGGTTTACAGCGTGCTTCTGTCTCCGCGCTGTTGTCGCCCTGTTGATGATGTCAGCGACGCAGTTTAGTCGGGTGCGGTTTAGTCAAGCGTGGTTTTGTCGGTGAACCGTGGTCATGTGGCCGGCATGACTAAACACCGAAGGCGCACAGGATGCTGTTACCTTCCCACCAAAGGTGGTTATTTTTCTACTTGCATCTTACATGCTTTCGAATGGCTAGGTTGGCAGAAGCTGGGACAAGTAACAGGAGCTCACTCCATTACATGGGGCTAGGGATTCGAACCACTGAACTGCTGACCTTCTGATCGACAAGCTCAGCATCTTAGCCACTGAGCCACTGTGTCCCTTCTTCCCTTATATAATGAACTGTTAAAAGCACAGAACTTGATGGCTAGATTTGGCAGGAATCTTTTTTTTAAAAAAAATAACTGTGATATGTTCTATAGCAGGAGTGTCAAACTTATGGCACTAGGGATTTTGAACCGCCGAACTGCTGACCTTTCTGTTTGACAAGCTCAGCATCTTAGCCATTGAGCCACCACTCTTAAAGACTACTAAGCATGCCTATTCTTGCAAAAGCTTTCAGGTTATGAAAAATATTGATTCGGCATGCATGTAGTTGCACATATTGTAACCCACAATAAATCTTCGCCTTAATACAGCATACTTCAAATGCTTAACATTCAGTCTGTTGTCTTTGTATTCTTTTTAAGTTTCAAGGGAGGCCCCCAAGGCGACAATAAGTTCTAACTGGCCTAAGTTTGCATCTACAAACGTAAAATTAGCATACGGTATATAAGTCTCATGCTAATTCATTTCCTGTGAAGTATCTTCGCTTTATATAATGTCAACAGATGTTGTTTACCCAGCTGCTGGCCCCTTATCAAGAGCAGATCCTCACCTGCTGCTCCAGTTCTCCCATTGACCCCAGGTATTGCCGAGCTGTTCACATATTGTTCCAAGAACGCATCGTCCAGGGCGCTCTCCTGCGCCTTCAGATAAGCCTTTCCTCCACCCCCTGCCGCAACAAGCAAAGGTTCAAAAGCTCCATCCTTCTGCTGCTCAAGAAATCACACACACACATACACACACACACAAACACAAGGAAACATTAAGGAAACATCGAAGGTTCAAAGTCAAGCACCAAGCAAAACAAAACCCCAAACAGGAATAAAAACTTGACTGGAATAGCTGACATTCTTTGGCCCGAGAAGCAAGCAGTGTTGCCAGTAACTCTTGAATCGTTTTAAGCCTGCCTCTAAAATCAGGAGGGTCAAGTCACATAATTTCAATAGCAATAGCACTTAGAATTATATACTGCTTTACAGTGCTTGTACAGTCCTCTCTAAGTGGTTTACGGAGTCAGCCTTTTTTCCCCAACAACCTGGGTCCTCATTTTACCTACTTGGGAAGGATGGAAGGCTTGAGCCTGGTGAGATCTGAATTGTCAAATTGCAGTCACCTGGCAGTCAGCAGAAGTAGCCTGCAGTACTGCACTTTAAGCACTGTGCTACCGTGGCTCCTCAAGCTTTCTATTCAAGCTTTCTAGAACAAAGTTTAGGAAGGGCTAGGAAAAACGATAGTCTTTCAGCTGTTGTGGGACCAACAATTGTCTGATCTGGCTTAAAATATTCTCTCTGTCTGAGGAACTCTAATAAGTGCCATACTGAACATCTATGGAAAATCTCACTCATCCAGTTCATGGTTGTCCCAAAGGTGCTTTTTTCCCCTCAAGAGGCAACTGGACTTTCTGGTTTTTCTTTGAGGTCCTTTCAACAGTCCCAAGAAGGCTCCACATCCATTTCCACCACTCAGGTGACCCTGACGACACAGAAAAGCCTCCAAGTGGCCTCAACAATTCACTAAAAGAATGCAAATGGCCAGTTGTCTGCAAGGATTATACATCTTTCTATTCCCCATCCTCCAGTCAGAACTGAAGAAGCTTCTTGGATGAGAAATGAAATGTCTTCAAAGAAAAACAAGACAGTACAGTTGCCTCTTGGGGAAAAAAAAGCACCTTTGGGACTTCCATACTGAAGATTTCTCAGCATTTTCAGCAAACCACCCCAGAAATGTTTGAAGGAAACCTTGCCAATGAAGTTGATATGCTACCAATTAACTCTATTCTTTTGAACAGCAATGGTAACCATTCAAAATGATTCAGAAGAGAAGGACAACAAAAGGAAAAGGGCAGGAAATGTTAACTCAATGTTAACTCAGGGGTCATTCATAATTCAAATTGTCTTGGGCTGTTTTAGGACTGCATGGTGGAGGTTTCAATCCGGGGCCATATCATTTATCAGCTGCTAAGCATTTCAGCAATGAACATTTTGATATCCCCCATTGCAATGACTCTCTCCATTGCCTAGAACTCCATCATGTTTGCACCACTATGGTTAAATATTCTCCAGATAGGAAGCTGTTTCAATTGGCCCTTAAATATTGCTAACTATAGCTAGCTATTGCTAAATAATTGCTAGCGGTCCTTAGTAACTGCTTGCAAGAGATCATGAACACTTACTCGAAATACATAGGTGGCTCCTCCGCCCCCGCCCCCTCCTCCAGCCCATTCAGTCAGTCCCTTCGCTTTTCTGTATTCTTCTTCAATTTCTGAGGATTCCCCCAGGCAAATCTGCTTAGTGTGATAGTTAATCTGAAAGAGCAGAGGGGAGGAAAAAAAAATGAAAATCTGAAGAACATTTTTATTTAAATACACAGACAACTGAAAATATTTCTCCTTGAATCTTTGATTTAGTTGGTTGATAGATTTAGATTTTGCCTTATTCCAGGAGCTCAATGAAATAGTTCCGGAAGCCATTTTTTTAGTTGTATCACAATGCGATGCTGAGCAATGATTAACTACAGATGGGAACCTATGGTAGACATCTGCAGCTAATGAGAATAAAGTGGGGGAAATCCCAGATTGGAGTTAAAGTGCTAGGAATTACTTGAGAATGTAGCTGGAAGACTGAGCATGCCACCTGATCCAAATCAACCAATGAGCTTCAGTGACTGTATATGAACCTGAACCCAGGTTTCATCAGAACTGATCCAACATGTTAATTATAGAAATCTGAATTCTTCTAAAACAAAGTTTCCCCAAACTTTCCGGCTTTGCTGACTGGGGAGAGGGGGGGGGGAGAGGGAATAGTTCTGCCCAGGCAACATGTGCACGCATGTAGCTCCACTTGCATGAGCAGTGGGCATACAAACTATCACTTGTGCAAATGGAGCACATGCACACACGCTCGCCTGCTGCTTGTGCAAGTGGGGATGCATGCGCATGTTTGCCCGCCGCTTCCAGGGCCCAGTTTTGAACAATTCAGGGGTTAGGGACCCCTATTCCAAAATGATATTAATCTGCTTCAATATTTGTGATCAATGAATTATGATTGCATGTATTTACTACTGCAGAGAATATGCACTTTTAAAAAAATCCTGAACACACATTGGGCTCACTTATTCTTCACATTAGGCAAAAATGCCACTTTTAACATTTTCTGTCTTTTGAGAGATTCCCCACCGCTCTCAAATGTATCCATTACAATTGTTTAAAATACATTCAGAGCTGATCAATATTAGATTTCAAAACAGTCTATAGCAGTGGTAGTCTACCTGGTCCCTACCGCCCACTAGTGGGCGTTCCAGCTTTCATGGCGGGCGGTAGGGGTTTGCTGTAACTCTGCTTTATAAATTTTATAAAGTAAATTGACTTCCCTACTTTATAAATCACCATTACTGTGGAACCGGTGGGCGGTTAGAAAATTTTACTACTAACAGAGATACAAAAGTGGGCGGTAGGTATAAAAAGGTTGACTACCCCTGGCCTATAGGTTCAACAAAGAAGACATTGATTGGAAACTCAAAAAAAAAGAATGGCAGAACTTCAAGCTAAGCCAAAAAAAAAAAAAACCACCCCACCCCAAAACAACTCTTCTTTGCAATCCTTTGTGTACTATTTCTCATTTTGGAGCTATCATTATTGAGAAGGCTGACTCCTGAAATATCCCAATCAATCTTTTGTCCCAATCTCAAAGTGCACCAAGTGCTTGGAGTGGAAAGTGTGTAGGCCTCACCCTTAGGCAGGCATCTTCCCCTTGTTGCCCCACCAACATGTAGAGGAGCTCATCTTTTTCCAGTTGGAAGTTAGCTGAGATAAAAATCCCATGGGACCGTTTGTTGTGGTTCTTGGCTCCCTTCCCTCCAGATGCTCCGTAGGCTGAAATCCTGGAGAAGAGTAACAGCAGTTAGGAAGAAACTCCCTGGCTCAAAATGAGGCTCCAAGGTGTTATCATATTGATGTATTCTCATTCTGTTCCTTTGCCATTGTTAACTTTATTGTTCTATTATTTTATTTACTTTTACAGGCCTTTTCATTTTTATTTTTTATTTTTTACAATCTTAATTAAGCTGCCTAGAGTAGTTCCACGGTGACATAGGTGGCAAATAAATTTAACAAAAGAATGAACAAACTAAAACAAACATCCAGCCCATCTTTAATGTGATTGGTGGATTATATGCCATTAAGGTTGTTGACCCTTAGTAACGGCATAGATTTTTTCCACAATGATCTGCTCTTTCGGTTTCTCAACAGTTCATTCTTCACTACTTGTCCTCTTCTTCTCTTTCCTTCCTCATGTTTTATTATATAACACCTTCAAAATCTTTCATTCCTACATTACAGATTTTATGTATTTTTAAAAAATACACTGATAGGAAATACAGCATATTTAATGTAGGAATAAAATCGATGCCCTGTCTTAATGAAAATATTACATGGCTAATGTATTGAAATGAGCAGGGTGAGGATGGGAATTCTTATAATTATTTATTAAATTTGTTTCCATCCATTTTGCCACTATTTCAGATATATCCAGACTACGGCTCTCTGAAAATCTTGGACCACTGCTCATAGGGATGAGATTCATGGGAGGTACCATTAGATGTCTCAGCTTAAAAGTTAATACATAAACAGTCAGTCATCCTTGATTTATGACCATAACTGAACACAAAATTTCTGTCATTAAGTGAGACGTTTGTTACGTTTCAACCTACTTTACAATTTTTCTGGCCTCAGTTGTTACGTGAATCCCTGCCGTCGCTAACTTAATAACCTGGTTGTTAAGTGAATCAGGCTACCCCATTGACTTTGCTTATCAGAAGGTCGCAAAAGGGGATTGCAAAACCTTGGGACACTGCAACCGTCATAAATATAGCCAGTTTCCAAGCTTCCATTGTTGCGTATGCTGCAAAGGTCACAACTGTGAAAAGTGATCATAAGTTCCTTTTCCGTGCCGGTGTAACTTTGAATGGTTTCTAAACAAACTTTTGTAAGTCGAGGGCTACTTGCATTCTTATTTCCTCATCTCATCACATTGATACTCACGTATATCGGTTTGACACTGGCACTTTCCAGATTTGTACCCCTCGTAGATGTCCCTCTTTTTCCACAGTCACGGACATATTGGTGTTGTGGTAAGCACTATCGCACTGTGCTTGCGTCGGTCCTCGAGGCCCACTAGCCCCACAGGCTGTAAACCACCAGAGATTAACAGGTGTTTCTCCTGTTAGAAAAACATTCAGAGCTGTGAGTAGCATGTCAGCTTCACTTTCTTTCCCAGACCGTATTCACACATAATAAAAAGAAAAAAAAGTATCATTGTTCCGGCAGGTCCAGCTTTTGATTTCTCACTAGTTGCTTGTTTGCTAAATTTATTGGGCCATCTTATAACAGGGGAGTTCTGGGTTGCGTACAATGTTAAAACTCTACAAAACACACAGACACACACTCAGACACATCTGCGTGTCTCTCTGTGTGTGTGTTTTGTAGAGTTTTGTCTGAAAAAGTTTTTTTTACTACTGTAGAAAGGTTTTTTTTACAGTATGTATGTATGTGCACACACACACACACTTTTTACAAATTCATTTCCCCTCTGGGGGATGTTTTAGTAATAATTTTGCATTTCTAGCATTAACACAGTTGTCTACATCTTTATGCGTTACTGTACCTTTCACTGTACAATTGCCTTTCTAGTAAACCACATGCTTGATTGTGCAACTCTACTTTCTCCTACCCAAACACTTTCAGCAGCTATCTGATCACAAGATGTAGCCTTTCAGTGGTTTGAATCGCTCTGTCACTTATGGTAATGAAGCAGCACCAGAGGTGGGTTCCTACCAGTTTGGACCGGTTCGGCTGAACCAGTAGTAAATTGGCGGCCTGGTTGCAGGAACCGGCAGCGACCCAGGCCTGCCACGCCCCTGAACCAGTTCTCCCATGGAGGTGCCATCTTGATTTTCAGTTCTGCACACGGGCAGAACAATTTTTACTGCAGAAATGTAATTTTTTTCCCTTTTCTAATATTTTGCGCAGGCACAGACCTTTTTAGTTGTAAATGCGCACCGTCGAACTGGCAGTAATGCCGGCAGCAACCCACCCCTGATCAGCACTAAAGGTTGTGGAAAGCTTCATATCAGAACTGCTTCCTTTCTTGCTCCATTTAAAGCTCTCTTTCATTTTTGACTCCTTTTCCAATGAAATTTTAGCCAGAATGGCCACCTTAAGAGGACATTGGATGAGACAAGCCTGATTATCATGTAAGATTCTGAATCTGCTGATGTGGAAACTGGTTAAAAATCAAATGTATGTTTTGATCACAGTTTGATCCCAACCTAAACCAAATGGGAAAAAAAACAATCAGTAAAAGTGATTTTATGGTAGCAGCTTTGTTGAGCATGATCAAATAAAAAAACCTGAAATGCGGTGGAATCCTAAAAAGTTATGTCAATTTCTACTTTGCTAGTTTCATCACAATAACTAAAAAACAAAATATTGCATAGATTGATTATTTTTGAACCAAAACAATGAACCCTTGAACTAGAACTACTTTGAGAAATATTTGTATTTTAATAACCATCTCATTGGGACAGAGGTGGGTTGCTCCCGGTTCAGCCCGGTTCGGCTGAACCAGTAGTGGAATTGCACACCCCTCAACTGGTTCCCTGGTCTGTTTTGCCGTTGTTGCCATGTTTCTGCGCATGTGCAGAACAATATTTAGTCAACTGCGCATGTGCCAGCAATGTGTGGCTGGCACGTGAGTGAGAGAAGTGAGTGCAGCGAACTGGTACCGACCGGTATAAGAACTCACCCTTGCATTGGGAGGATGCAACTATAATACATCTATAACACACTGGATTTCATACTACTTCTTTTTAACAAAATTAAGACATCTATATAAAAATGTAAGTAATAATCATTGATTCAAACATGACATAGTTCAGTTCATATAAGTCAATAAGTTTGGAAAAGAAAACAAAAGAGGGGGTATGTATGGGAGCTTTGAACCAGACTGAAACTCAGGCAGGAATATTTAACTTTTTTGCCTTGTATTATGGTCTCAATTCAGGGACCACAGTCAGACTCCTGAAAATGATCTGCTCTTCACATTGGGGAAAAAATATATCATAATATTATTGCTCCAGTACAAAACGTTATACATTCTAGGGCTGAATTAGAATTACAGTAGGCCTATTCTTCACAATTCTACCCATGCATTACCCACAAGACTACTTATGCCAAGGAAATAAGGATATACAGGAAATATGGTTGAAAATTTAAAAAATGCTAATTTAAGAATTATCCTGTTCTTTCTGTCCTGAAGGATCTAAATAGTTCCTGTAGCTTTCTATAACTGCAATGTTGTTCAAAAGCTGTTTTACTTCCGATGCCTAGATTTAGCATTATGTCAGTAACTATGCCGGAATTAGCATTATGAGAATAATAAGTTCACTATGAGAAAATCTTAGCAATAAATTAGTTATAAATGAAGTGGGTAGACAGTAATAGTCACCTAAAAGAAGAGGTTCTTCCAAAGGGTTAAAAAGACGCTCATCCAATCTATCAATTGCCAATGAGTAGTGCTGCTCTCCATCAGAGTGGCTTTGTTTTCTTCCTGCCAGAATTTGAGAATGAGTGAAATGAAATGACAGAAGAAGAAAAGGTTTGGATTTGGAAAAAAAAAATCAGGTGCAGAATTTTTTTTGCCTAAAATTAAGAAATTCTATTTGTAAAACTTCAGAAATAAATATTTAAAAAATGTTAATCTTGAACAAGTGGAACTAGGAAACCTGGAAAAAAATGACACAGCAAAGTCATTTCTTTCCATCTCTACAGCTGTCCAAATTCTGAAACTAATAATTAACATGGATTAATATGAAACACAGATCATTTTGCATTTTCTCCTGTTTTTATGAACCCCGTTTAGATTGAAATGCTGGTTTTGCCTCTCTTCCTACTCACTGCAAGCCCACAGCAATCTTGCCTTTGGCTTAGCAAAATGTTGATTTTATTCTCTCTAAAATATTGCGATGATTTGTATGTAGTAGCAAGAATTGTTACTGAACTGGAAAAATAGTTGCCTTGTCTCCCCAAGGACAATGTTGTCATTTGGTAACCTAATTTTGCCAGTAAATAACCATCTGCCATATAGAAAGCAGATCTTTTACCAGTAGCAACCACAGTCACAGAGTGAAGTCTGAAACAGTTGTAATGGCATCTGCAGTGATGCGAATAAAATAAATTCATACAGCAATGTAACGGAAAACACTAAAAACTACCACATTATGTTTTCCCAGGAAAACCATCAATGCCTAAACATTAGTACAGAAGCCTTAATAAAACAAATAGCATAGATCATGGATGTCAAACTCAATCATGTCACATGACATATTGTGATGTATTGTGATGTTTTTTGCCTTTGCGAAGCCAGGGTAGGCGTGGCGTGTATGTGACACATCTGGCCCGTGGGCCGCCAGCCTGAGGTAGGATGCAGCACTAAAAGAAACTGATTTAATAACCCTAAATTCGGAGGTGAAAGTCTTAAGATGTGTACATGTTTTGGGCAATTACCAATTGAACATATGATAATGATAATGAAAACAAAATGCACAAAGAGATTGATAAGTGCAGTTATACTATTAATAATAATGTCCCACTTTAATGAGCATTGATCATTGGTTAAAAACATAAGGTTTTTTAAATTCTTTGTATGTATTTTGGGGTAGAGGAAGAGATTAGCTACAGAAATAATTGGGGTATCATCTACTGTAAACATAAATTCTACTTATGGTGGTAACTCTGGATGAAAATCCCTAATGCAATATACTTACATTTGTTTCTCCCAATTTATTGGGTGTAATCTATTGCAGTATTATAAGGACAGACACCATAGGGCAACCTTTTAGCCCCCCGTGTTAGTTATCTGAAATTTTGTACTATATAAAGCATTTTTGTTCTTGACAGATGCCGAACACTGGCAGAAATAATTAACTTTCCCCGCTCTTCCCCTCCTTGCCAGAGAAAGCTATAAACAATTTCTCTGGTGAGGCCTAGAAAATTTCCCAAGTATCATGCTGGAATAAGGATACTGGAAACAACTGTCAGCAGATGATAATTAAAAGGTGGCAAGGTGGCTCAGTGATTAAGATGCTGGGCTTATTGGCTGGAAAGCTGGAAGCCCAGATTTGAGATCTGAGCTCCAAGTGACGGAATGAGCTCCCATACTTGTCCTAGCTCCTGCCTGCCAACCTAGCAGTTTGAAAGCATGTAGATGCAAGTAGATAAATAGGTATCAGTTCAGTGGGAAGATAACAGCACTCCATATCATCACGGTGGCCACAACACCACAGAAACATCTTCAGACAGCAATGAAATGGAGATATGCATCACCCCTTATAGTCAGCAATAACTAGCGGAGTAAAATTCACAAGGGTTCTTTGATCTTTTTTCCCCTAGAGTAAGAGCCAAATGAAGATCAGTAGGAAGGATTGTATGAAATGCCTCCACAATTTTCTCTTTTTGCATGCCCAAAAAAGTCCATTATAGATACAGACTAGGAGGTAGTGGAGCTAAAGAGGCAGGATTTCTCATGTAGTGTTATTTAGTTTGCGAATACTCAGTGGATGACAATGGAACTGATTTATGCTGGACAATTGTTTTGTCACGGCCGTGATAAAAATGAAATTAATGTAAAATAAACTATGGAGATTAAAGAAAAGCCAAATAGTGGTACTTATAACTGAGCACAAAGAAGTTATTGAACTCCTTGGCCTTTGGTTATTATTTTTAAGATACTAAAAATCATGAAATATTTCCAACACAGTTGCTGACACCCAGAGATACAAATCAACTTAGTCAACTGTTGTAAATCACTCTTTGGACTATTGCCTTGGTTTGTATGCTTGCTCCAGTCTTTAACGGAGAAATATCTCAAACCAATTGTCCTCGGGCAGTTCTCCATGTTTAAATAACTTTTCCTCCTTTTCTGAACAAGATTCAAATTGTAAGGGTTTTCTCACTATCTCAGTAATAAAGCAACCATGTTCCTAGACTCAGTGATAATTGTTGAATTCTATAACTTCTAAGATTCTATAGTCAGTTCTAAAGCAATAGTATTTATATATTGCTTCATAGTGCTCAGGAAGGCTGAGTCACACTTTAGGCTGGTCAGGATGTTAGTACCTTTCATTGCATATAATTTGTATCATTGGATGAGAGTTCCATCTGCAATTTTTAAAACAATTTGAAGGCCAATTCGAATATGACTGGCTTCTATAAACTAATTATTTCATGCACAAAGCAAGGCATAGCTTCTTTCATTTTTTTTTAGTTTGAGTAGTAACAGCGAATTTGATAAAGCTTTACCCACATTTCTTTTCACAATTTACCTCCCTTGCCTCTACATAGCCAAATTCCCACTTATTCTTCATCATTGTTACTTTTAATTTACTGTAACTATTCAATAATTATATTAAATGTCAAGTACTACTGTGTTCCACTGCATCAACACAACATCTTATGGATTAGATCAAAGGATGGTTCTGCTTATGACCTGCTTATGATCTTACCTGATTAAATTTTTGAAGTTCCTGGAGATGGGCCATATCACATTTCACTTTTATACAAGCTATCAGTAGATAGATTCAAGCAAGGTAAAATACCACCACCAAGCTGAAAACTATCTGTGTCAAAATAGGGATGCTTCTGGAAAGAGATAAGGATGCTTCTCTCCAAACTGGTTTCAGATCAATATGGGTTGCTAGTCTCAGAAAAGAAAGCATTGGTGGTAACCCGTGCAGTGGCTATCTAGGGCACAAGGCTGACTTGATGTTAACAGAAGGGCATCTGTTAACAGAAGAAATTAAGAGGAAATTAAATCTAATTGTAGCACCTGCTTACCCAGTGGTTGGATTCAAAATTTTTTACTACCTGTTCTGTGGCTTGGTGGGCGTGGCATGGCTTGGTAGGCATGACTTGGTGGGCATGGCAGGGGAAGGATACTGTAAAATCCCCATTCCCTCCCGATCAGCTGGGACTCGGGAGGCAGAGAATAGATGGGGGTGGGGCCAATCAGAGGTGGTATTTCCCGATTCTTCAAACTACTCAAAATTTCTGCTACTGGTTCTCCAGAACTGGTCAGAACCCACTGAATACCAACTCTGTGCTTACCTCTCATGCACAACTCCCACAGAGATTTTCAGCAGCAAAGCTTATAAAATAAAGTTAGTAATACAGAAGTATTATAAGCTGAAGTGGGAAGTAGCAACCAAGGTGTTTTTCTAATCAACAAATTCTGGGTCCAGACTGTTAATCAGGGAACTACACTAAGCAATAGAAAAAGCATTCATTATCAAGGGAGAAGAGGATCAGCTAATCAAAACTGCATTTTCACAAGCTGTAGCAGTGAAATATCATTCAACTCCTCAGCCACTCCTTCTGATTCATACAAACTACAAAACATTTTCTGTAATGAAAGGAGATGAGTTAAATAGCCGGAACGCATGAGGGAAATAAATACTTCCGTCTTAGCAAAAAGAAAATTAAGCTTTCTTACGGCTCTGTTTCCTTCCTTCCTTCCTCTTCCTCCCACTTCCCTCCTGCAAAACTTCAGACTTCAGACTCTTTGCCTGATTAATTAATTGGAACTGTCAGGGATCTCCAAAGTCTCTCTTGGCAAAGAAGGATGTAATTTTATTACAGAAAGCTGCTGGGTTTCTCCAAAATGTAATTGAATTAGAAGAGATGAACAGCCTTCTTCTCTGAAGGAAAACAATACAGCTTATAGAAATTCAGGGAGCATCAGTGAGCCTGAATGTTTTTTAAAATATCATCTTATTGATATATTCTGGTATTTTAAAAAGAAACATGCTGTCTTACTTGTACAACAGCCTTTTCTAATGTGATGTATGCCAGTCAGGGTGGATCTATAGTGAGATATGATGTCCTACTCAAGGAGAACTCAACTCCGACCCTGTGGAATCAGCTACCCCCAGAGGTCCGGACCTTACCCACTCTCATGGCCTTCAGGAAAGCCGTTAAAACCTGGCTGTTCCGGCAGGCCTGGGGCTGTTGATCTTAGTGTTAAGGTCCAGCCCCGATTAGAACGTATGTGCGTTGTGAATTTTAAACTACTTTTTAAAATTTATTTTGCTTTTCTTTTTTCTTCTTTCGTTGTAAAGCTGCCCGGAATCCTCCGGGATTGGGCGGCCTATAAATTTAATAAATGAAATGAAATGAATGAATTTGAAGTTGAAAGAAGGATTGGAGTTGCAATGGCATATTTGACATTAATAAAGGAAAATATTTTTAGCTCAGGCTCGAAATAAGGGGTCCTTGGTGCTCTCTGAGCTTGGTTGTTTTCTTGCAGATATTTCATTAGCCAAACTATGTAACATCATCACTGCTCACTGATGATGTTACTTGGTTTGGGTAACAAAACATCTGGCAGAAAACAATCACGCTTAGAGACCAATTAAAAGAAAGATTTAACTAGATAAGAAAAGTCATGCTTTTGAGTACAAAAAACGAGTTTAAAATTGTGTTGTGTGCCAATGATGGACATTTATATGATTTATATAGATTTATAAACTCTTGTCGACACTGAATTTGGAAAATTAATATGTTAAACATTGTATGATCCAATGGGTAAAGAATTTTGGTGATAATATAATGTTTGAGCAGTGGAATTACAGGTGGACTAATGGACTGAAATTTTACTGAATAATAATTTGATTTTTTTTTTAAATAAGATGATGCATTGTTGGTATTTAACATCTGAAATATTGTCAAAAATGTATATAGGAGTTTCAAATGTAATTGGAAATTCAACTGATAAGAGAGTATTTTTTATCATCTCTGGTAGATTTGTGACAAAGAAATACTGGGACCAGACTTTTACTTTAATTCACAGGATTCTTAAAATAAATATAAAATTGCAACCAGAAGTTATCCATTTAGATTTGATGGACGAAGAACGTGAAATAAAATTTGGAACTTTGTTATTGTATATCTTGACAGCGGTGAGAATCTTATATGCACATAGATGGGAAAACATACTAATTCCCACGGTGGATGAATTGAATTGAAATGTTATGAAATGTAAAATAAAATGTTGTCTTTTTTCCACTGTATTTTGTAAAATACTTGGAGATCATAGCTTCTCTCTCTTTCTCTCCACTTCTTTCCCTTAATTTTCTAACATTTTTTGTATGTTTATAATGTAACTTATAAAACAATTTAAAACCCAGCTTATATTCCATTCCTTTATTTTTTTCTTTCACTGTGAAAAAAAGCGGGGGAGGAGAACCCAATCAAACATGATTATGGGTTATCAAAGCTACTCTATCAAAGGAGAGGCAGCAACTGGTAATGAGTTGCTGTGGGCACAAAAAGAGGGGAGAATTCCAAAGGTTGGGAAGAACTGAAGATCGTGCCCACCGCACAGAGTAACTTTTACAGTATTTCCTTGGTTCAAAGTTCAGCTTCTTGTGCAGTGCAAACACAGGGTGGAGATTTGGGCAGGTTTTAAATGCAGAAGAATCAAGAAATAAAGCAGTAAGGCAGCAGAGGTATCTCAAGTGGGGTTAGGGATTTCGAACCAGTTTTTCTTGGTATGGGGGATTTCTCTTCCCTTTTCCCACTTTTAAACCTATCTGACAGTAACACAGACATTTTCTACCAAATTATCATTTGATAAATTGTCCCAATGGTGCTTTTTCAAAAGGGAACTGGATTTTGTTTTTCTTTGAAGATGTTTTGCTTCTCAACCAAGAAGTTCCTTCAGTTCTGAGAAGTGAAACATTTTTTTAAAAAACCCAGAAAGCAGTTGACTTTTGAAAAAGCACTTTTGGGACAATCATGACTTGGATGACTGAGAATCTCCACAGACATTTAATAGATTGCTACCATATTTCAGTGGCATAATGTTGGTATGCACTAGCTATGGACTATGAATATACATTATTTGGCTAATTAAAATATTACCACAGAAGAGGCCTTCTGATCTCAAGGGGGAAAAAAACCTGGCTTACCATTTAATTTGCTTTATTGTGGCAATTATTTCTAAAGACATTTCACATATGTTACATTTAGAAAATGCTTATGGGGGAAAATTGTATGTAGAAGTAATAATTGCTTGCTTTTATACTCTCAGAGCATAGCACTTCCTTAATTAGAAATAACTCACCATTAGAGAAGCAGTCCAGACCAAAAGTTATGTTGTCCACAGCAATATCAGCTTGTGAATTCCAACCCCAATTAGCGAGAAGCTCCAGATGAAAGCTTTTTTTTTTTTTAACAAAACATATTGGGAGAGCAAAAAAGAGATATTAAAAAAAATTAACCTACAGAATAGAAGTCAATGAATAAACATGAAAATGAACAATTTCAAAAAGGATACTAATTAAAACGGGAGCTGTAAATCTGCAATACTGTTTGAAAAAATAATAAGGGTGCTCCTTACTTTAGCGCATTTCATAGCTCCATGAAAACAAATATATTAGAGTTTTTGAAATAAACCTCCCAAAATTGCCTGTTACAACAGAACCAATTAAGAGTCATGTGGCATTTTAAGGATTAAAATCTTAAAATGTTTTTTATGATTGTAAGCTGCCCAGAGTTACCCTGGTAAAATGGACAGCCAATAATAACAATAATAACACTAACAACAACAACAACAACAATAACAACAACAACACAAATGCCATTAAGGCCAAAATCGAAAAATCTTCTGATGATGCCAAATGCAGACTTTGCAAAGAAGCTGATGAAACTGTTGATCACATACTCAGCTGCTGTAAAAAAATCGTGCAGACATTATAAATTGCGGCACAATTGACATCACAATACCAGGTGATAGCAGGGTCAACGAGAAGGAATATGAAAAAATCGCAAAATACCAGGATTTAAAACTCGAAGTTCAACTATTATGGCACAAACCAGCAGCGGTAATTCCAGTGGTAATCGGCACACTGGGTGCTATT